AGAGGGATTGTGGGGGGTGAGGTGGGGGGGCAGAGGAAGGACTAAGAAGTTTGGCGCAGACGTCAAATGCAAATGGCAGAGGTAAAAGGGCAAATGCAAGAGAATAAGAAATGAAAGGGTATAAAGTCTATATATTTCCATGGCTCGTCAATTCTTCTCTGATGGCAACTGTTCTCATGACTCGATTTTCACCACGACATGTCAGGCTTCGTATCTGCATTTAAAAAAAGACAGATTAAACGGACTGAACTTCTGCTGGTGTTCTGCTGCAACAACAGGCTCTGAGGCACATATGCACAGCACACACAGGCTTGGAGCACTGAATGTCCTTCCTGTGTATATAGTAATTAATTTATTGTCCCCTCTGCCAGAGTTTCATTATCCAATTCCCTTGCACTCACATTTTTTGAGCTCATCTGACCCAAGAGACTGACACAGGGAAGGTAGAGGAGAAAAAAAAAAAGAGAAATGGCTCAGTGGGACTGGAAGGAGAGAAAGTGAGCGTGATTGCGAGGGGTGAGGGCTTTGCCCGATACAGCGTTCTCACTGCTTCTCCCTGCAATAACAGAATGGATTCCAGATGTCAAAATGATAAACAAATGGATTGTCATAACCTTATAAAAATGCAAGGCATTCAGAAGCACTCACACTGCTGTATTGTCTGTGGTATGTCCCATTGCGCTAATCCAGAACTTTGCAATCATCCCTAAAGCATAGTGATGAGCTATTAGTTCTTCCCAATTACTGGAGAACACACACACGCACACACACACACACACACACACACACACACACACACACACACACACACACACACACACACACACAAACACACACACACACACACACTTATTTAAAGATCCTCAGCAATCTGACGATAATTTGACACACTCTTGCACCCTGGGGGTTCACTGCAGAACCACTCTGAAAAAAAATCAGCTTTGCAAATATAATGTACTATAAAAAGTATACTATACTATTGAAAAAACTAAGAAAAAAAATTATATTAAAGCTAAATATTTCTCAGCGCCTGGTGGTATTGGTTTGACCGTGGGGTTAAAATGAATGTCTCCTCATACAGGTCAATACAGAGAGAGAAGGAAGTGAGCTGTCCAATGAGCATTATAATGTCTTACTGCTGACATACTTGGCTAGGAGGATTGCCCCCCCCACCCCCCAAAACAGAATATATATTCTACCTGTATACAGTGTGTAAATCAGCTCAATACAATGTAAATCCCAAAAGAGTCCGTAGGCCAGAATGCTGATGAACTGCCAGACTCCATCTAAATCATTTCTTAACACTTGCACTAGCATAATAAAGCTTGGGCAAAATCAAAAACAGGAAGACTATTGCATTCACTCGCCTCCATTTCTTTTACTTTGTTCTCTTATAACATCAGCTTTGAATCTGAATGGCAAAAACCGAATACAGCAAGTCCACCATGCACCTCAGCTTTGTAAATCCAAACAATGGTTTTTGTGTATTGTTCCATGGTTGTTGCAATAACGTTCATTGTTGACGCAGATTGCTGCATGAACTGCATCTCAAAAACAGTCAAGTCTAAATCCAGAATTAAAATGACATGCTGCACTTACTTGTTTAAACTATGGCTTCCGCTTCACCTGACTGTCTTTTGCCCCGTCTGATGCTGTTATGCACCTGATCTGCTGCTCCTCTTAAAAAGGTCGAGGTGGGTGACAGCCAATACAAGGACCGACCACTGATCACTATTCCTCTTTGGAATCTAATTAGCAACACTTGCATGTGTTCCGCTTTCTGGATCCTGACACTGATGACAACATCTATTCTATAAATGTCTCATCCATACCCAAATATTTGCTGTCTGGTTGTGACTGGATGACATTTGTTGTCTACCGAAACCCTTGTTGAGGTTACCCCCTCATGTGTTTTCAGTCAGGGAGCTGATCATGGCCTTTATAATGTCAAATAGTGGCTATATCCTGAAACGTTGTTTCATAACCTGCGCACACTATCTCTAAATATGTGTCAAAAGCTTCACAAAAAGGCAAGAAACAACAGGAATGGTAATTAACACAGATAAAGTGAGGAGAGCTGGCAATTGATTATTTCAATTTGTGATAAGACTACTACAATTGATTTATAGTGACTGGCAAATCTAAATAAGGAACGTGGTAAGTTTGGTTGATCTTATCTTCCGGAAAAGATGGTGCAAAGTATTCACACATGTGATGTTGTAAATGTTCAGAGATGTTTGAACACATGCCAACATGCACTTTTGGTTGTAAGTACAACTGCTTGCCCCCCGCTCGCCCTTCTGTCATCAGATGCTGAATAAAGAGAAGAAGGGAATTTCAATCCCCAGAGCCTTTGATGTGCTTTGAAGTATTACAACATGCAAGTGTGTGTGTGTGTGTGTGTGTGTGTGTGTGTGTGTGTGTGTGTGTGTGTGTGCATGTTTGTGCTCTAACATGTGGATGTGTGTATCCTTGTCTTAGCACAGTATGATTGTGTCTGAATGAATAACTCCTCCAGCTGTTGAGTAGCATATGGATTTTATGTGGATTGACATGTGCGTGTGTGTGTGTGTGTGTGTGTGTGTGTGTGTGTGTTTGTGTGTGCGTGTGTGTGTGTGTGTCCTCCTGCATGTGGCTGCATGTGTGGGAAACCCAACCAAATTCTCAGAGGCTTTGTGTGCCCACCACACACAGGAAGTCAGACTATGATATGAACTAACATGATGGTAGCTTGGCATGTTCATTGTCGATCACACTTTTTCTGTCTTCTTTGCTGCCTCTCACTATCTACCCTTCTCTCATCTCCTTTGCAGTTTCTCATGCGACTTTCCCAGGCGTGGTGTGGGCAGTGGCAGAAGTAGTGGCAGTAATGTCCAAGTCTTTCCCATGCAGCCTCATAGGAGGGTCTTTGTTTCCCCTCCAGGCTTTGGGGGTCCCCACGGCAGGGCTGTGCCCCACTCCACTGACTCCACAATGGGTCTTTATGCTGCCAAGCCCCCCCTCCCCAATCCCTCCACCATGCTTCCCTCATCAGGGGCACGGGGAGGCACAAGGGGCACCACGGCACCAAAAACGCCAACCCTTTTCATGCTCTGTCCTGCCCCTCTCTCTCTAATACATGCCAACAGAGTCAAATACAGTGGAGGAGGTTTGCTGAATAGCCACAAGCCAATCTGAGCAGTTTATGAGTGGTGCCAACTGTCTCAGTAGGGTACTGTTTTCTTATTCAACCCAAGAACACTTGACACCACAAGCAAAGACCTGGCTCTCACCAGGGAGTGTGTGATAACACACCGTTACAACCCATTAGCAATGTTTGGTAGTAAAAGTGACATTCACACACTCACTTACACACACGGAGAATAAAGAAATAAAGAAGTGGCTTTAAATACACACAAAGAGGCCGTTCCTTGACAAGTTCAGTGAGAGATATGGTTGCCTCGCCCTGTGTTTATGCTCATATGTTCCTGATCATGGACCAAGCACACACACATTGGCTGCCTACTGTACTTTGTGTGCTGACACACTGTCACAGGCCCTGATGAATGGGTGGTCTGCTCAATATGTCTCAGCCATTGGCAGATCCTCTGTAGCTGGGAAGGGCAGAAGAGTATAGGGCCAGGAGAAGAGAGGGTAAGAGAAGAGAAGAGAAGAGAAGAGAAGAGACCCAACTAAAATTCTGAAAGCTGTCTTTGAAAGTCTTTGACAAAATGCTTTTGCCTAACACCGACGATAGTAAAATGGGTCCGTGACGTCTGTTCATGCGCCTAATGTCTTCCTATGTACTCATGTAAAGTTTAATGTATGGCTTAACCCAGCAAACAGACAAGGGCAAAAGGATCCCGCAAACACTCAGGGCGGATCGTGGGGGAAAAAGCATCCCCAGACCACTGTCTTCCTCTGTCAAGGCCAATATTTGCAGTGCCAAGAGCTGAGGTTGCCATAGTAATGGGAGCCAGTTTAGGGCCACCACAGAAAAAGGAGAGCATAACCTTGTCATAATTGTGGACTGAGTTTCTAGTGTTTAAGAAACAGATCCAGCGGGAGGAATCAGTTACAGACTTGCATTGGCTCAGTACTCTGCATCAATTCTGTGCTGACTGAGAAACCCGTAACTACATACACACACATACAGAGAGTGAGCACTTGAGTCTCTGAGAGATGCACCCAAAACCATAAACAGCAAAAGGGCTCCAGGTCCACACCTATAAATCAGCACAAAACAGAAACCTCATAAATATAATGAATATAATGAAGAGGAAAAAAATGGCACAGATAACAGCTCATTAACTGAATCTAATACAAAGGAGAGGAGAGCATAGCAACTATTTGTTCTGTCTGCATTCACTCAGTGTGGAGATGGATTTAATAAATTCCTTATTTCCACACTGATTAACAACAGCCAGACACACTGACTAACACACCCTGACATTATCCCGCACAAGCACACAAACACATGCAGAGAGGGTCTGTCGCTTTTAAAAGCTCATACTTCTCAATTCAATAGAGCTTTTAAATCTCAGGTGGAACTGGAAGAACCTGTTTGAAATATACATAAAAGCCAGAATCCCCTGTTATTTGGAGAAAATGAAAGATCTCATCTCCAAACTCCAGCGCTGCCAAGAAACCTGTTTATGCAACTACTGGCCACAGCAAAGCAGTGAAACACGATACAAACTGTTGCCTAATCATGAAGAGCAAACGTGAATAGAGACTCATAATGCGAAACGTAGATCACGTTTGCTGCTCTTATTCAAACTGAAAAGAACAATGAATTTTGGGCATATAAGGTGACAGTAATAATGATATTTGAAAATCTTGCAGTTTTTTAGTTCCTAAACAACCACTCAGTAGTGATGATAGAAGATGATCGAATTCGTAGAGAAATTTGGATTGAATTTGATCTTAATATTATTATTTATAGTTCAAGTTTAGGGAGTGTGTGTGTGTGTGTGTGTGTGTGTGTGTGTGTGTGTGTGTGTGTGTGTGTGCGCGTGTACCTCTCCACCACATCATCGCCGCTCCAGCATGTGGAGTCGTCCACTACATTCTCCCCTTCGCACAGCATCTCTGGCAACGCTGCAAAGAAAGACTTGTAGCGCTGCAGGTACATCAAAAACTCCCTAAGAAAGAAAGCAGACACATGGGGAGAGGACATAGTGCGATTTTAATTCATACTGCACAACATATCTTTTGTCATCACTGGCCATGTTAGAAAAAACTGAGGAATTTATTGTGTAAGTGTGGCATAAGTGGGCACTGGCCACATATTTGCAGCAGCTGGTGGGCACACTTCTTAACATAATACTTTGGTGCCATCCCACTTACATTAAATAGGTATCTGCATTCCACTCAACAATACATCCATGTGATAAATACACCTCATGATATTGATGGCGGCAGAAAATCAGTGACTTTGAATGTGACCACAGTCGGCATATTTTTCTCTACTATGCCGTGCGGCACAGAGCACGCTTCACCAGATCTGCTAGCACATGTTATCGATATAGATGTTTTCATTGCGAGCAAAACAATGGCATGATATTTTGATCCGACACATATTGTTGCCACCCATGAGCCTGAGCAAAAACAGCAGGGGTCGTGAGAGGTTATGTGCTGAGTCAGACAGTGTCGGGAATCACTGTTCAGGAGAAACAGACGATGGTTTTGTAAGACATGGAAAAAAATGCATGAATCACCCAAAACACAAAAATAATCAACTGTTAAAATAAATGAAAATGTCACATGTATCTAAACCAGTCAAAATATGAGCTGTCATTGCTTGTGTGAGAGATTGAGAGAAATAAGTCCCTTGGGTTCATGCTTACCTAGACAGCGTTCTCAGACTATGTTTATTGTTCTTGGAGGGTTTCAGGGGGAGCGAGCTGGGAATGATGGGAGTTGAAGTCCAGGGGAGATTGTTGCAAGCAAGGAGGATGCAGGGATGTGAAAGTGGGGGGGTGGGGGGGTGGGAGAAAGAAAAAGGAAACAAAAGGACGACATGACAGGACACATGGGGAGGAGGGAGAAAAGACCAGTCAGTTGATCCTGGAAGAGAGTGATTAATCATGCACATGCAGAGAATGGCCACACCACAAAAAACATCAATAACCCCGTTTCTCCCCACACCACATCACACCACACCAACAATTAAAACAAATACTGGTATGCAATGTATATGTTAAGTCAGTAAACAAACACACAAGCAAACATCTGCAGATGTGCAAACACTTAAAATATCCACAGGAAAGCCAAAGAAAGTTCTGCTGTATTTCTTGATTTACATTTTTCCCCATTAAAACGAAACATAAATGTTGCTCTACTATATCATGTTTCATATTTTTCAGCAGTACACTATTCTCCCTTTACTGCAGTGGATGCTGCCAGGTCTCTGATGTGGTCAGTGCTCACATGTGCTCTGGTCAGGCTTGGCAGCAGGCAGGGAGTTGGATTGTGTTGTCATGAATGGCGGTGGCAGTGCCAGGCCAGACCTGTCAGCTAGGCTGGCATCAGTGCAGTGATTCATGGTTTGGGACAAGGTCAGACAGGCAACGCTGCAAGTGTGTGTCTGAGTGTGTGTTTTTGTGTGTGGTGCTATTTAAGCTGAGGCTGGCTGGTGTACAGAGTTGGTGGTATGGCCGTCTGGGTAAACAGGAAATTGTTGGTCCGTCAAGATTAATCTTACCTACGCTCCCCCTTGCCTGTAGCCGGGCACATCACTGCCAGCTGCTGTGGGCATGGGTTGGTTGCCCCAGAGGCCAGGTGGAGGGCACGGACCTTAGTGCCAGTCTCTACATTTACTATGTGTGTGTGTGTGTGGGCGTGTGTTGTGTTCAACTAACCTTATGAAGAAATAAAGAAGTCATGGCAGCTGTGAGTAGACATTGGCCAAACCCTAAGGCTATGTCATACCGACCTGGCCAGTTTTAATTTTATCGAAATTAACTTTCCATCTAGCTGATTGTCTAGCAGTACAACTAATTAAGAAGCTAAAGAAAAGTTGTGTTTGCCAGAAAAAAAGAGGGCAATTTGATTTACAACTGGCAGCAGTAAAGCTCTGGATCTGACTGAGTTCATTTGATTTCTTTGTCTGACCTCCTCAAGTGGGCGAGCTGCCCCAGCCACTGCTCTGGTAAAGGTTGGGAGGGAGCGGCAGATGGAAGAGGAGACGATGAGGTCACGGTGGAAGTTGTGACCTCTGGGCTGGTAGGCTGCATGCTTGTAGGTTCCCCAGTCGTCAGGCCACACACCTTGTCCACCTGTGGGGAGCATAGAACACACACACACACACACACACACACACACACACACACACACACACACACACCTGTTAAGCTAGGAGAACATATAACAGCAGGGGTGGAGCTGCAGGGTTGCTTCAATAAACCAATTGACACCTGCACAGTTGAAAGCATATAAAAGCAAAGAAATTATTTAAAGTGAACTTTTTCTTTTCAGGGTGATACTGACAGCTTCAATTGAAGAATGAATGATTGCAGGGTGAAGGGAGGTGAAAAGGATTACAGAACAGAGAAGTGCAGAGTAACGGACAACGTGGGAAAACAGGAGGCGTGAAGGGAGGGATGTGATGAAAGAAAATGGTGCGATGAGTGAGTTATTGCCAGGAGGGCTGACGGTAAATGGAGAACATTCCACTACCTCATGGAGGTGAATGCATGTGTGCACAGTTGGCAACGCTGGCAAGTACCTCCAGTGGGCTATTAAAGCCAGCAGCGGAGAGGAGGAGACAGAAGGGTCATGAGAATAAAGGGGCGTGTGCTTCAAACCAAGAGGTAAAATCAATGACATCTCATTGGCTTAAAAGCATCTGGGCAGCGTTATTAAGTAGTCCTCAATTAGCCAGAGAGAGTGTAATGGGTCTTGCATGCTGGACTGAATAGCTCCTCGTAGTGATCAATGCACATACACTGCTTTGTCCTGAGGGATGCGTCATCCTACTGTGTAAGGGCATCCAACAGGACTACGAAATGTTTGACAGCACATTTAATGTATTACTGATCTAGAAAAAGGGAGACTTACAGTGAAGCAGTGGGAATTATTCTTTTCTATTTCATTGAAGCAGAGTGGCCACCTCATTCTTAGTGATGTTTTCATACATACGGTACAGAAGCACGTCTAGACTTTTCTCATCTGCTTCACCGTTTTGAATAAGAATGGAATGATGTTTTTATTTTGCAGGTACACAATGGGGAGTTTTAACAACTAGCACACCCAGACTACAATGACTTATAAAAAAACACAAGATCAGTAAGTCCTACGCTCAATAACAATCTATCAAACAATACAGTAATTAGCTCCAATGCTAATCCTGCAGATTTGCTCTGAACCAATCTTGCAATTTTCTCACACTATTAGACACAGTGCCATGGCAAAAGGCAGTGTATGGGATGTCATGTGTGGGGCCCGAAACAATGGAACGCGCAAACAAATACATAAATTTCATTGGGGAAGGAACTGGCAAGCATGTGTGTTTAAATGGCTGCTTGAAGTGGTGTGCCTACATGGTGGGAGGTAAGTAATTCTGGAAGCAGCTGAAATATGTGTTAAACAGTCACAAATATGTCTTGCCAGCCTGCTAAAGATACACTTGGCCTCCAGGGTGAAGCACATCAGTCATCTCATGTGTCTTATAAATTGAGTTTAAATGGAGGTTTTCATGTAATAGCGAGATATTCCCGATCCGTGGTGTAGGAACCAAAGAGATGCTTTCTAACAGTATAACTTACCACCTGAACATTTTTCTTCCTCCTTGCACTGTTTGCACCTCACTCCTCACTCTGGCCTTTCTCTCCTACTTTTTCTTTACGACATTCTGGTCTTAAATCCTGTCTTAAGGCAGACGCTGGGCACGGGGAAAGTTGTTTTATTGCATTAACCTTAACTCCCTCTGGACCCATAAAACATGCTCACATGTGGTGGAGCAGCTCACAGCCACACATGCACACAGCCACACATACACATGCAAACATGCCACACACACTCACATTACATTGTGGTGGTGAGAAAAGACGGAACATCGCAACTGTTTTGTCCATGTAGCCTTTCAACACACTAAGCCAAATGCTCCATGCAGTTGCTGCAGTACTTCTGCAGACAATTACTGTTTAATTCATTTGCATACCGTATGCACACAATGTTGTGTTCAGACATTTATTAGAACACTTGTAAATGTCAAACCTGTAAAATGGTTTCATGAAACAAAGTTTGCAAAATTAGAGTATTTGAGCAAGACTAAAGGAAAACAAGGATCCTTTAAAATGTATTTAAATTTTGTTTATTAGTCTGGAGTTCAACATTGCTCAGTCCAGCATGATCAACTACGGCAAGTATGTTAGTGTTTGTAGCAACAAAAAAGAAAACTAACCAGTAAAACACTGTTGATTCCAAAGAGTAATAAAGCTACAAATGTCAAAGCTGATTCATTTTACCTGGCAAACTTACATAAACCTGGTCATTAACTAAATGTATATGCTTAAAGTACTTGGCCAGTATGGCGGATGGTGTTGAAGTGAACCATGTGCCTCTTCCTTATAAAGCAAAAAATCCATTTCTATAAAATAAATTCCTGAGATATTCCTGAGACATCATACAGTACCATGACATCATGTCCAGACAGATTTTGGGAGGTCTACAATACTGTGCGTGTGGAGTAGTGTGTGTGTTTGTATGAAAGTGGTGGAGCAAGTATACTGTGTGAGGGGGCTGAGCCAAGCCAAGATTGGTTTGTAACAATATATACTGTTTTTTTTTTTTTGTTGTTGAGGAAATTGTGTGTTTAAAATGGATTATTGAATGTTTTATGCTCTTTTTTCTTATTTCACTGCATTCATTGAATTTTGTTTCTGTGTTGGTTAGTGTAACCTAATGATGATGGCATTTCATCTGGGACTATCAAATGACTATCCTGGGTAAATCAATGTGAAAATAAAATGTGGGCAAAAAAACCTACAACAGACCCTTGAGGGCTAAATGCACCTAAGCAAACATCAGCAAATAAACACACCTATGCAGTACAGATGAAAATATATTTGAAATATCTAAATAAAAAAAACACTGGAAATTGTTATAGAATGTAGCCATTAGTTTAAAAGAATAGGAAACTACTCACTGGACTATTTGGCACTCCCACCTTTTGCTTTTAAATACATGTCATAATATTAAAGGTGATAATTTTAATTTAGCACATGAAAAGCAACCAAAAAAGATCAGAGCTACAGGTTATCATTTCTCTGCAGTGGTGATTAATGGAGGACTGAGACAGGATCTAATCCTATCATTGTGAACTTTGAAAGAGGCAGACTTAAGTTTGAAATCCAGTGCCATTTCTCACCTGCCTTTGTATGACACTTTGACACTATTCTCCGAGGGAAAAATGTAAACATCCGTGTAAAATATGAACACCAAGAGGAGGTCAGTCACAGTTCTGTTTGCATTACCCCATTATTTTTACAACAGAAACCACAGAGAAGAGGTTCAAAAATGTGCTACTTGTGAAGAGGCCAGAAAGGATTTGAGAAGGGCCTGCATTTCAAAACAATATCGCTCACACAAATCATTCTTTTGCCTAACTAAACATACAACAGTGTAAACAGAACACAAAGTCATCGTAGGGAAAATAAACAGTATCTTCGTGATGGGTTGAGAAATGGAGAGGCGCTCTTATAGGCTGGATCTTGTGACCACATAATCCTGAGAGCCAATCAGACGACAGATTGAATAACGGTATGAGCTAGGACACGGCCATAAATCAATTATCTCCTGACCTGATGATGGCGTGAGAATGAAAATCCCATTTGGGCACCGCATGAGTACTTGGTTTAGAGTATGTATGTGTGTGACCACCTGCTTGCCCTTGTTATACCTTCACAATTTCAGCTATTTTGTGGAGCATTCCTTATGTGATTGCCTGAGGACAGAGACTGATGGAAGGGGCAGATTGGTTGGATGCATGTTGTCCACATGGGAAGACTTTAGGGAAATATAAGGCATGTATTCTATGTACATTTGAGCCACCCAAGGACGTTTGATTTCTATTGCTTCAGGCAGGATGTTTTGACAACTACTGGGTTTACTGTTTTGCATATCCACAGAATAGACATTAGTCCAACCAAAATAAACTTTTGATTTTTACCACACAATGGTGTCTACCAGAATCTGTTTCCAGGTTTTTAGCTCTAAACTGATGAGTGTATGTGTGTGTATTTGTGCTTTATGAACATATCATCCTAAGGCGAGAGAGTGTAAAAGGAGCACAGCAAGGGAATCAGCTCCAAGCTAGCCAAGCCCAGGGCCATCCCTCCTCTAGGGGAGTATTGGTTTACAGATAGCAGCGGTGGTCTTGTCTTCCTAGTTTATTTGTCAAGGGATTACCCAGTAAAGCCAAGGGAACTTTCTCAGCCCCCTCTCACCCCAAGCACACAGCACTGTGGGATGGAGGGGGCTAGCTCAGTCAGTGAAGACCCCCCCCCCCCCCCCTTCATCTTTTCCAGGCAGTTTGTGTGCTAAGTGTGCATACACATACAGTGTGGTTGCCTAATGCTACCAACTGTTTAACTCTAGGAACAGTACTAAATTTGTCAGCTCTGCCAAAGTGAACAACAGCTAAATTCCCTTTCTAGTAGAGCCAAGCAATCCTTAGCATTTGCAACAAAGGTACAAAGATCTTCCCTTTACAGCAGTTGGCCTTTTGATGGCTCCGCTGGTTGAGCAGAGGATAGCTTTTTAATCTCACAGAGACGAAGTGTGTTGAATTAAAAAAAAAAAAAGAAAAGAAAAGCTGTCTCATACTGAGGTTGTGTTGTATTAACATTTCCTGACCTTAACTTAAACAATATCCACTTTTCAACCAAGCCTTAGGGATTGTATTCATTTATCATAGTTATATATTATAGGGATGAATGGCCTGAATGGAACATCAGCGCTGGTTTTGTGCCATGAGCTGTATTATTTGAAATTAATCTCAGGAATTCAGTCGTGCCTTTCTTGCACTGTGACAGTAGTGTACATCTGTGTATGTTTAAGTGCGAGTGCAAGTATGAATGCATGTGTGCAAATGTTATGACTTCGCTGTGGCAAGAAGCTTAAATCTGCAAACTGTAGCTGCTTTCATTTGTATATGTGAGAATGGTCGTGACATCTGCTCACATCCATTATGCGAACCACAGTCACTGTCATCTCAAAATGTTGGACTCTCTTGAATCATTTTTTTCTCATAAACATGAAATAGTGACTAACCAAC